TTTTTTTTTTTTTTTTGGAGACAGGGTCTCACTATGTAGTTGAGACTGACCTGGAACTCACTATGTAGCCCAGGCTGGCCACAAACTGGTGGCAATCCTCCTGCCTTAGCTCCCAAGTGCTGGGATTATAGGAGTGTGCCACCACGCCCAGCTCCAAGGACTTTTTCTACATGTCCAGATTCCATCCACATCTGGAGGTTCTTTTCTACCTTAATAACACTGATGCCAATGGGGTTTCCCACGGATCTTTTGTTTGAGGAGACAGGTTCCATTCAGCAGGAAGCCTTGCTTCCCATTGGTGAAAAAAGACCAAGGTGAATTCCACCCAGGAGAGCAATGCCCCTCTCTGTCCAATTGCCTTTGATAATGATATCTGGATCTCTATCAACCTGAAGTTTCTCTCAACTCTCCTTTGAAACTGTTTTCCTTTCCTGGCTACATCACTTATTTGAATACCAATTTTTGTTTATTTGTTGTGGTTTATTCTCTGCTGGATGAAGTTGTATTCCCATTCCAAAATTTGTACTGGATTTCAACCCCACTTCTGCCATTTCCTAGCTATATGACCTTGGGCAAGTCACTCTACCTCAAGTCACTTTTTAAAAAGAATAAGGATAGTCATTCTTGTCCTAATTATCTCACAGGATTTTGGAAATATCAAAAGGAAAAGATATCTAATAAACACCAAGGCTTGGACTGCCACAGAGGGTAAGGTGGACAAGTCTGATGAATGTCAGAAGGGATAGAGGTTCGTTCAATGACCACTGGGAGATAAATTTAAGGGTGTGATGATGAGAATTGTTTGGGGATTGCTTTAGTGTTCTCAAATACCTTTCATATTCATTAGATCCTTAAATATTCAATGGCCCTGGCTGGTAGACACTGCAATGTTAAGAGAAATGCTTTCACCTGTTACACAGATATATGCTAATTTATTGTGTGCCTATTTCATTTTAAAATCCCAAAGTGTTGGATACATACCTTGGAAAATTACAATATGAATAATCACTCCTTTCTATGTTATGTGCACTTTATAGAATTTTAAGTTTCTGACATATGAGTATTGTAATAATCCCAGTCCAAGTGAGGGTGCCACTAAAAATAAGAAGAAAAAGAACTCCAGCTAGAATATACATAAACACACCCTATTTTTTAGTGGAAAATCTGGATGAGTTTATATGTACACTGTCATATGAGTATGTTTTTCCCTGCCAAATGACCTTGAGCTGAGGGCATTAATGTATCTATGCAGAACTATGTCAATATTGCTTTGGACAAATGGTGCTATTCTATAGACCCGTGGATTGTCAAAGGAAAAAGCATAGTTACACTGTGGCTCTGCATTGAGGGAATGCTTATAATCTTATAAAAGTATTTCTTTTGTGGGTGTGTATGTGTGTGCAGGGAGGAGTGGAAGAGGTGGGGTATTCCAGGTGTGGAGCCAATTCCTGGTGTGGAGCACCAGGAAGCAGGATGAGCTCAAATTAGTGAAGCAAACTCTGGGTGCAAATTGGGTGTGTGCTTATGAGATCCATGGGTTGGAACCAGGAAAAGGATTGAATTTTCTAAAATAAAAATCAAAGAGTTGGCCCCTGTCCTTGTACCAGGGTGCCCTTGAGAGGGCAGCTGCCAAGTGTGAAAAAAGAATACGAAGGAGCTCATAGGTGACTTGGTTGAGGAGGGCACCTGTTGGACCTCCCCTTGAAGACTGCATAAAGATGAAGGGGTTTGGAGGTCTACAGGATTTCTACAAATTTTACTGCAATTTTCAGACCAAAAAATCTGTATTTGGGCCAGGCATGGTGGCACGAACCTGTAATCCCAGTACTCAGTAGGCTGAAGCAGAAGGGTCACTACAGGTTTGAAGCCAGCCTGTGCTACATGGTGAGTTCAAGGCCAGCCTAAACTACGTAGCAAGACCCTGTCTCAAAAACAAAACAAAACAAAACAAAAAACAAATAAACAAGCAAAAACACTGGATTTTGTAAGACTGTTTTCATATTGTTTGGCCTTTTTGGTAAATTTTTACCTCCAAGAAACAAAAACCCAGAAGCCTGAAGCCTAAGGCAGAGTTTGCTTTGTCAAAGGAAGTAATAACAGCTAACATTTATTTAGTAGTTACTATGTGCCAAGCACCTATATTGACAAAACTCTATAAGATAAGGTATACATGGGGAAACGGAAGCAAGAGGGCTTAAGTAACTTGCCCAACTTTACATAGCAGCAGATGGCCGATCTGCTAGGATTTAAACCTGGGTAGTCTGGCTCCAGAGCTTATACCCTGAACTACCAAGGGTGTTAGTTCTTTCAAAAGAAGGGCTTCAGTCCTTGCCTGAGTTTAGAAGGAAAGTAGGGTCTCTAAGAATCAGATCCATCTCCACCATGCTAATAAGAATAGAGAAAAGTGTACCATTAGCATAAAAGGTACCATTAGACTTAGGGCAAGGTAGCCTGTAAAAATGATAAAACTCAGAGGAGCAGTGAGCCTTATGTTTTGTTTCTTTCAAGTAGGTATTATCATCTCTATTACTAATGAAAGTGAGGCCTAGAGAGGAGAAGAGACTTATACAAGGTCATAGAGCTAAGAATTGGTCTCTGGAATCCAGGCCTCTTCTCTCTTCTGTACTAAGCTGTTTTGAGCATTCGCTTATGGATCTCTCTTCTTAGAACCACCTAGAGTATAACTTTGGTTAAATTTTAATTTAATCACATCAGAGATTTATGTGGAATCTGTAAATCCCAAAGAAGTGTATAAATATATTTTAGAATCTTTTTCTTTGCTGTCCCATATAAAACTCATTCTTTTGTAATACATGTCTTCCCAATTTGGTGGTGAATTCTAAGGTCAAGGTCTGTACCTCCTCCACCTGCTCCTCCTCTGTCTCTTCTGGCTCCATCTGTATAAGTGCACAGTAAATACTTTCTGATTGGTTATCTAGTTCTCTCTCCCACAAAGGTCCAGTGAAATGGGATGTCTGTTACTACCTCTCTGATATTCTTGCTCCATGTGAGTCGACAGAGGCAGCAAAAGATTTTTGTTTTGTTTTGTTTTTCTGTTTTTTGTATCGGGGATTGAACTCAGGACCTTGCACTTGCAAGGCAGGCGGTGCCATTGAGCTAAATCCTGGGCCTGCAATAGATATTGGATTTCACAACACTTTGGAGTGCATGGATGTTACTAGGTGCCTAGGAGCAAGGGGAAAGATCTGGCAGCCACTTTAATGGGACAAACAGGCAAGAGCAGTTGGATACACAGATAAGCACACAGGAAAGCTATGCCCGAGGCAGTGCAGAAGTGGATACCTGGGGCCAGATGTGCTTGAATTTCTCTTTCAGCTTACCCTGTTAAGAGCCCATGGAATGGAAAGGCTGATGAGCAAGATCCAAGGATAGAGGCGTAGGAAGGAAGGGTTAGCGTCTCCTAAACCCCTGGATGCCTCTTGTACCTCTGGCTCCCCTCTCACTGGTTCCCCCGCCTCTATTTTTCGAAATCTGATTCTAGCTCTTATGTGTGAAGATCTCTAACATTTATTGAGCTGTCCAACCTCCCTAAACTAAACTACAGCATCTCTATCCCCAGTACCACTCAGGTTCCTTCATGTTACAGAATCTAAGTTGCTTGTACCCTTTTGGACCACAGAGCTTTTATGCCTTATGACCCTCAGACCTGAAGGCCAGCACTGAGCTTTTCTACCACTACCACCAGAAGTGCTGGATCCAAAGCTACCAAGAGCCATCCCCTAGGCCACGAAGGGTAGCCCACCTCAAATCACATTCCAGTCAAGATGACTACATACAGTCATCCAAATTAGGGTATTTCTAATCCAAGCCCAAGCTCTGAGCGTCTTCTGTGCCTGTCAGATACCCTAACCAGCAGAGGAGTCTCGTTCACAACCTCTCCTAAGTTCTTGAGGTCCAAAGGCCTTCCCCTCATATTCAAGGTCAAAATCCCCTGCTCCAAACCAGCCCCGCCAGAGGAAGCATTCTTGGGACTGCTTCCAGAGTCTTGGCATTATAAGAAGGAAGCAAAAGAAGCCTTTAGGAATTTCTTAGGCAGGAAGTGGGAGGAAATTTGAGCCCTGAGGAGGGTATAGCAGTGCCATACTCACCTGGACATCCGGGCATGGCCTCTTAATCGGGGGAGGTTGGCTGGGGGAGTCATTCGTGCCAAGCTCTGCCCGCCCCAAGTGCTTGACCACAATACAGCATCTCACTGGGAAACCCCTGAAGGAAAGAGAAGCCTGAAGTGGTAACCTGACTGGTTCAAAAGGGAAGTTGGCAAGACCCATCCCTGTCCATCTAGGGTTGGAGGGGACAATGGGAAGCTGGCACTGGGGAAAGCCCAGTCAACCCAGGGCAGTAGCCAATAGGCCAGCACACTTACTTCTCCCGACACTTCTCCAGTGACTCGTCAGCCAGCTCCTTCAGGTTTACAAGTTTTTCCCCCCTGTAGAAGGCATCTTTGGGGAGCAACAGACATTCCAGGACTTAGTAGGAGCGATCCTCCCCAGTGGGCACAGTGTGCACAGGGCCCTTCCTGAGTGGGCTTCTTGAATCTGGATCTTGTAGCTGATTTGCGCTGACAGAGGGTTAGCTGAGGTGGGCCTTGGAGAGGAAGGGCAGGCAGTCCTACCCTCCATCCTAAGCAGCTCCAAACCAAAGAGCTGACTGGAGATTAAGACTCAAGGTGGGGTCTGGAGAAAGAGTGAGAGAATCAGTCACCTGCAGTGATGAGAAGACTGCAACTGGAATCCAGGATCCGTTCACACAGGGACTCAGCTGAGAAGCCTGCAAACTAGGGAAGGAAAGAAAAACTGAAGGAAATCCAGGGATTGAGTGAACAAGGAAAGGAGTTTTTCATGAAATACTTAGCAGGGTCCTAGAAGAAACTGAATAACTGATGTAGACCTATGACATAAGCACACTAAACCCCTTAGTTTGTTATTTAAGATCCTCCATCATCCAACCTACTTCTCCAGATCCATGTCTTCAACCCCTCCCCAATTTCACCAGCCCAAACTCCTACCACAATGGAGTGCAAAGCCCCAAGGCGGGCACAGGCCAGCATGGCTACCACGAGCTCCAAGATCATGGGCATGTAGATGGCCACCCGGTCACCCTTCTGAATGCCTGCAGGTAAAAGACACAGAATGCTGACAATGAGCCTTCCTGTTGCTACTTGGTCCCACCCATCCAGCTGGCCTTTCTTCCAGTTAACTTTTTCTGTTCCCCTATTACCAAATTCCTTCCATTTATTTCTCTCTCCCCACAAATCCTCAGATCCCAATGCCAAGCCCTTCAGCCTTTCCCATGCCCTCACACTCACCCTGTTTACGGAGAACATTGCTGAACCGACACACTTGGACCAGAAGTTCACGGTATGTGATCTGGGTAGTCTCTCCTGGCTCATTGCCCTCCCTGGGATATACCAGAAAGAACCAGTGATCGGAGGTACAAACTGTAACCTCAAACAAGAGACAGGAACAGTTATAAAACCCATCTAGTAATACTAATGCCTGGACCTGTGAGAGCAAGGCATCTCCTTTCACACTGTGATCTGACTAGACAGATACTGTACTTTGGCTTTTCAAACTACTTTGTACATTTGTACATTTTGTCACTGCAAAGTGTACTGTCCATCTCTGAGCCTCATTTTTTTGCTTTGGTTTTTGGTTTTTTGAGACAGGGTCTCACTATGTAGTTGAGACTGACCCGGAACTCACTATGTAGCTCAGGCTGGTCTCAAACTCACAGAGATCCTCCTGCCTCAGCCTCCCGAGTGCTGGGATTACAGGCATGCGCTACCACACCCAGCTTCTGAGCCTCATTTTTTTATGTTGATAAAATACAGCAATGGTCCTTTCTCTTGCATGTGTTAAGAAAAATTAATATCACAGATGTGTCTCCAGATCACTTGTATTCAAATTACGTGGGAAATTTGTTAAAATGTAGATTTCTAGACTTCAACTCAGACTTCCTGAATCAGAACCAAAAAGTCCAAGAATCTGTTTTTTTATAACAAACCAGTACAAAGGTTAGAGGTCATTTGAATGTACATTTAAAATCTGAAAATCACCACCTTTTGGCTGAGAATATGCTCAGTGGTAGAACACCTATCTAACACATACAAGGCTCTGGGTTCCATCCCAGCCCCACCAAAAAGGAAAAACTAGTAATAAAAACTTCCACATTCTAGCAAGTGATTTCTGCTCCCCTCCTCCTTAGCTTTGACCTGGTTAAGCAGAATGATATAACAATGAATGACTGAGGAGAAATACTTCCTAAAAATACACATTCTTAAATAGGTTGCTGCATGCCTATAATCCCAGCTCTCAGGAAACTGAGGCAGGAGAATCACCCGGAGTTCAAGATCAGCCTGGGCTACATAGTGAGACCATGTCTCAAAAACAAAGCAAAACAAAACAAAGAAAATGCACATTCTTAAGAAGCTATCTTGATTGTACGCAAAGATTTAGGTATGTTTCCTTCCATGTGTTTTCTGATTTTATTATTATAAAAATAAGTAATACATAAAAGGGCATTGTATACAAAGATATGTAATGATGTGTTCCTCCCTTTCCTATCTCCCTGTGTAGTAGCAACTATTGTTACTAATATTTTGTGTAACTTTTAAGAGAAAATCAAATTGCCAACAGAGCCACTCCTACTAGAATGTAGGCCTAACAGTAACTCAGCTAGTGTGGAGTGACCAAAATAATCACTTTGGAAGAAGTCTAAACCATTAGCATCTTTCATAAAATGTTATTAAGACATATTTAAAAATTGAATTTAAACAGTCAGACTTTAAAAGAAATAAGCACCAGGGCTGGGGATTTAGCTCAGTGCTTCTGCTGTCTGCTTCGCAAGCACAAGGACCTGAGTTCGATCTCCGGTATCAAAAAAAAAAAAAAAAGAAAAAGAAATAAGCACCTCACAGTCTTCAGTCTAACACAGGGTAGCAGGAATGGGAAGAACTACTCAACCCAAGGGACAGGCCTACTATACAAGCATGTATATATACATTTATGTTCATATATTCTCATTTTTCTGCACAAATGACGGCATACAATACGCATTATTCTTTATCTCGCTTTTTAATTGAGTATCACATATTCAGTTGTATATATTTAAGTGCAGGGCTTAATTATTTGCTTCTTAAAATTTAACAATATACCTCAATAGTCTCAAAACTAAAAAAACTCAATCTCTTTGTTTTCTATTTTTAGGTACCCTAATTTGTTTAAACCATAAATGCTTCAAGAATATTAAATCAGTTTCAAGTGTGTTTGTAGGATGACTTAATTGGGTCAAAAGATGTGTGCATTTTAAATACTGATAAATATTAGGTACCAACTACTTCAGATAAGAGGGTCAGAGAAGGTCTCTCCCTAGGAAGGTGATATTTCAGCTAACACCTGCATAACGAAGCTGGTAACCATAGGTATCAGCTAAATAACCATATTGATTTTTGGGAAGAGTATTCTAGCCAGCAAACGGCAGCAAATAACAGTATGGCTACAATATAATGAGTAAGAAGTTGGGTAAGAATGAAAAACAAACAGCAGCCAAATCACGTAAGACCTTGCAGGCAGTGGTTAGTTTGAATTTTATTCTAAGTGGTTTCTTCCTGGCTTCCCTTATGCACAAAGCTCAAGCCTAACCCCACACTTTTGATAATGTTATTACCTCTGCTCAGAATGATATTCCTCTTTCAGACACAGCACCACACAGCCTCTCCTCAGTACTAGAGGCTCTTGTGTTCCTTCTCCTTTCTTACAACCCAGAGTACTTAGGAAGGAGGAAACTGAAACCTAGAGAGATGTAGTATCCGGCCAAGGTCACACAATAAGTGGCAGAGCCAAGAATAGATCCTCAAGTCAGGACTCTTTCCCTCATAGTGTGAAGGACGGGAACCAGCAGGAAAACCAGGCCTTTTCTTACTGACAGAGGTTACACAGAAGATTATCAGCCTCTTTCCAGCTTCTGGCTCGATGAGTCAGGTTCTATCCTCTCCTTGGCTTTAACTCTCCTAGGGCTAAGAGGAGCCAAGCACAGAGAGCTTACTAAAGTAGGAAGGAACTAGGAGAAAGGAAGCTGGCAAATGGCCCTGAATACCAGAGGCAGAAAAGCCATTTCCTTAATGGGCCCACTGACGAATGCTACAGGAACTCCAGAACATCTCTAGTTACAGCTGAATACTGGTGCATGCACCCCTGCATGAGTGCCCACATACGTACCACATACCAGCCCACCGATGTGTACTTGCATAAAATCATGTATATTTATAACCATTGTAAGCACAAACCTGCTTGTCTGCACACATGAACACAAGCATAAACATGTGTACCCAGAACTTAGACCCACCTGCAAGTACATGTATCACACTTACATAACACCTATGGGCACACTTCGTCTTTTCAGAAACTCTTTATCAATTCATTTATTTTTTCATGAAGCTTTCCATTATTGGAAATTATCTCATTTATTTACTTGAATATTATCTAAGTTTTTCACTAGAAAATAAGCTCCACAATAACAGAGACCTCATCTATCTGGTTCGCTGCTCTATCGTTAACACCTAGATCGACACCTGGCATGTGGAAGGTGAACAGGAACAGATAAGCATAACAATGAATGCAATACATGTATTGCTTCCTTGAGATCATTTCTAGCCACACACACACACACACACACACACACACACACACACAAAGTGTGCATTCCTCTCTCTGGCTATGGGCTCAACTTATACATAATTAATATAAGTACTTACTCATTCTAGTGTCTTCTTTCTCTGATATATACACCAGGCTGAGGCCCCTGGCTGGTGGAAGAGGGGGGCAGGGTACACACTGGCTTACTTCAAGATGCTAACCCCTTTAAGATGTTCTTAACAGAACATCCAGTTTGGTTTCTAATGTTACCCATGCTTGGGGTCACAGAGTAGTAGGTTGCCAAAAACAGGGACAAGGACTGAGTCCAGGCTTCTCTCCACAAACACTGGGAGTTACAAGCTCAGAAATTAACAGAGTCCAGGGAGGTAATGTAAATAACTGAAGCAGTTCATAGAAAAAAAAGTATTGATAAACAAGAAACCAGCAATGCATTTGGCAAGCAATAACATTTAATCCCAGCTTGGGGGAATAATAGGAAGGGAGAGTGACTAGAGAACTGGAGAATACATGCTCTAGCATAAGGAGGCATCCAGTATATAAATTTAGCTCCTGTCAACTTTTGCCCACTGGCTCCATGTTGCTAATTTTTAGAGACACCTGGAACCTTTTTTTTTTTTAATCAAAACATTTGAATTTTTAAATGTTGACAACTAATTTTTTTATCTTCTTGACAAGTAATTTTTAGGAGTTTTAAGCACTGTGGCCCAGACAAAATTATTGAGAGATTTTGCTGGTAGGCTATTTACTGGGAACCTTTACTATAAACCCAACCACTGTGCTGACACTTGGAGTGTACATTCTTATTAGGTCTTTCTCGTGTTCTTCCTCCAAGGATCCATTTCCAACTACCTCATCCTTACTCTCCAAATTTACTTTAATCCATTATGGATTCAAAATGTATTAAACTACTTCTCTTCACATTTATTTCTACCATCCTAGTCCAATATCCCTAGCATTAGGTAACTCAGACTGTGTCACTCTTCCACTCAAACTGCTCAGATCATTTTCCATATCAATTTGAATAAAAGTCAAACTTCTCACAATAGCTTACTTGTTTCTAAATTATCTAGTCCATCTCTATCTTCAGATATTATTTTCTTCACCCTCTGCTCCAGCCACATGGCCTCCCTAGTGTATGACAGAAATACCAAACAAGCTGAACCTCATAGCCTTTGTCCTCCATTTGGAGCATTCTTCCCCTAGACAGTTGCATGACTTATTTTCTCTTTTAGTCATTGCTGAAATGTTGGCTTCTTGGTGAGGTAATCCTTGTCTATCACATGTAAAAGTGCACCCTGGGGCTGGGGATTTAGCTCAGTGGTTCTGCCGCCTGCCTTGCAAGCACCAGGTCCTGAGTTCAATCCCCAGTACCCCCACCAAAAGAAATGCACCCTACCCTTAGCCTCAGATGCTCCAAACTAACATCTTCCTTATTTTCCTTTTCCCCACCTCCCTTTCCTTCCAAGGCCTTTTATATCATTTTCCTCATGATGTTTTTGGTTTGTTTTTGCCTCATACTCCATCTATATGGGTCTTACTTTTTCCCCCATTATATCCTGGACTCATGGAGGGCAGAAATTATTTCTTCTTCTCTGTGTCCTCCAAGAACAGCTGCTACAATAGGTACCCAAGGGTCATGGTAAAATCATTGAAAAGACTGATAATTGATTAATAATAGGGAAGAATAGGGTTTTCTTCTTTATATATAAGCATTGGAGTGAAAATTTTAACTGTCTATAAAAA